TTGTATCGACCACTTAACTCTTCACCAAGTTCTTGAGCATCGACATTCTTTTCATAGACCAACAATCTCTGTTTTTCTCGATTTGAAAGCGGCCTTCGACTCAGTCGACCGCTCTAAACTCTGGCACTGGTGTATTTCAGTATTACAATCCCTTTATACCAACAGCCGAAGTCGAGCTCAAGCTTACTTTTTTTCACCCGAGTTCACTACAGAAAGTGGTGTTCGACAGGTTGCTCTCTCTCTCCGTTTCTATTTAACTTTGTCATAGATTTAATTTTTGAAACAGCCCTATACTCGTGCGAAAATAGCGAAATAGATTTATTCCCGGGTGGCAGACGGTTTGATCTAGAGTATGCAGACGACATTGTGCTACTAAGTGAAGAAACAGGTAAGTTGCAAGCTTTTCTGGATAGTTTGAGTGCTAGTGTAGCCATGTTCGGTATGCGCTTTGCACCTTCGAAGTGTAAAAAGTTGTTACAAGTTCGAATTAGTCTAACACCCAGCTTCAATCTAACTAGGGAAGTAATAGAGGAAGTGAATAAGTTTTGTTACTTAGCAGCTACATCTCATCCGGTGGACACATCACAAATGAAGTGTCGGCTTGCATACACAAGGCTTGGTTGGCATTTGCCAACTTGAGACATTTGTGGCACCGTCGCGACATCCGACTGTCTGTGAATGGTCGAGTGTATGCCGCGGCAGTTCGGCCAGTTCTGCTATACGGTGCAGAAACTTGGTCATTAAGGAAAGAGGGTCAAGATAAACTGTCGATGTTCGATCATCGAATTGCACGAATCTGGTGGGACAGTCGAACGAGCAATGTTGAGGTTAGGCGTAGAGATATAGGTAACCGCGGTCGCCTAATGGAGAAAGTGGTCGACCTCCATAGATTACGCTGTTTGGGGCTGTTGTACGCGTGTCACCAGATAGGTTGCTACAGCGAGCGAAGTTCGCCGAGACAGGTAGTGGATAGTAAAATGCCAAGGATGGTCAAGCCAAGACCTTGCATGAAGGGATGAAAACCTTAACCTAAAGGGCTGGGTCACATAGGTCCCATTAGGCTACCTGGATGGGGACCTCGGTGTTATCGTAAACGATGGTTAGATACACTGAGTGGTATGGCTGAGTGTCGTAAATAGTGGCGTTCGTGCATCTCAATTTTTTTGCAACATCAGTGCACTGAACTTCTCCATTCTCTATTCGACTCTACTTTCAACTTCCCGGTCTTTCTCTTACTGTTCATCCGAATAGGGGGCCAAAAGACAGCAGCCAAACCGGTGCACGAAAGTGTATGGTTAACGATTGTACAAACTGAACTTTACTGAAAATGCAAATCTCTTGGATGTTCTAAGTTGAAGGGAAGACCGAAAAGAATGTTCCGCAATTGTGCTGTTATTGGAAAAGAATTATGACTGAAAGTTAGAAGTTCGACATCTGAGGATAGTCACTTGGAATGGGTAACTAACCGATTGGGCAAGAAACTTACGAGGAAGAGCAGGTGGAAGCGGGACGGAAGGAGAAAATTCATTTTGCCCGAAGCGACTGCAAATGACATGTTAGGCACTGGTCGTTGATGATACAAATGGCCTTACGTTACACCTAATCGACAAGAGACAGCGCGG